AATGCTAGTAGTTCAATAGTACTGGTAATATGGAAAGGAAGCTTCCCTGTGGAATCTCAAAGAGGATAAAAGATGCAGAACTACTGTAAACAGCGTTAACAGTTATATGTTGAAACACTTCACCATGGGTAGGCAACTTTTTGATAGTGTCGTGCTATAGTAATATTTTGCAGTTCCAGACCTATCTTTTTTTTTTTTAAATTAGGAATAAATAGTTGAGAAAATGAATATTTACTTTATTACAATATATGTCTCTATAACACCCTCATGCAACTGTACTTTACTGTGGAATTCTATAATACTCTCTTACACACTTTATATTATACTTCTTAGAAATTTCCAAACCTATTTACATTTACTTTGTCATATATCTTTTATTTATTCTCTGATCTCAAGTATCCCCTTCCATTTACATCTTACTTCTCTTTTTCCCTTCATTCACATTCCAAAATTGGCGTTCAAATTAGTTTTTTTTTTTGCATTTTTCACACACAAACAAATATTAACGCTAACTTTGCCAAGTGTTTGTGACAAAGTGGCTACTGAAAAAGACTGGACATACCACATTTGCAGTACCTTGGGTTGTCTACTATTGCAAATGGTATGGTCCCAAAACACCCTAAAACCTGTACATAGGGGGTACTGTTTTACACGTGAGACATCGCTGAATACAAATATGTGTATTTTATTGCAGTAAAAGCAAACAGTATTATGACATTCACAGTTAAAATAACATTTCCTAATTTCTCAATTTTTAAAAAATATTTTATTCATATTAAATTATGTTTCATAGCGTAATATTTGATGTTAAATGAAAGTCCTATTTCTCCTGAATAAAATTATATATTATAAGTGTGGGTGCAGTTAATAGGAAAGAGGTGAATTACGGTTGAACAGACATATAGTCAAATTCCAGGTTTTGCTTACATTTTATTTTGATCAAAACGTGTACATTTGGCTCAGTCCTTAAGGGCTTAAAGGGCACAGATAGAATGCCAAACAATAGTTAGCTAACCTCATAAACAGAAGAGAGCCAAAGTCAGGGAACTAGAAATCAGAATAGTCTTTAAACTATCCATTGTGTAGTGTCAGCCAGCAGACAAAAATAATTAAAACAATCCAATGTCAGCAGCACAGACGTCAGAATAAAAAAGATGAAACCAAGCTATTAAATAAATCAGAAAACTGAAGCAAACACTGTCAGGGAGGTGAAATGACAAATGTCACCATGAGTGTATGAATAGTAAGTGTATCAAGGCCTCTCCTAAGTGAGGTCAATATTTCATTATTGAATGTCCAAGAGTGGAATACTTTTTTATCATTAAAAGGTATCACTCAATGCACAAATCATTTGGAATCCCATTACAAATTAATTTATAGATGGTACCTAACCCCTTCAAAAATGTTTGACTTAAATCTTAGCAAAAACAATAAATGTTGTACAGTGTTCCACATCTTCTATTCATGTCCCAAAATCAAATCTTATTGGCTGAAAATTCTCAAATTAATGAATCAAATATTAGAATTCGATGTAGTTTTATCCTTGTGCCTTTGTCTCTTTAAGCAAATTCCATCTAATCTGCCTAGATTTTAAACAAATTATACCAGACCATCTTTTAATGTCAGCAAATTCCGTCTTCTCCTGACACTGGAAATCACCCACTATACCAACTGTGGGTGCAGTTTTATCTGTAGTAATTGAAAATAAAAGATGTGAATTAGTTTTCCATTAACCATCTAGCTTCACATCTATACTGCAGCATGAATGGTCCATGTGGGAAGCATCAAATTTCTAATTGGTAGGTGTCTATTTTGTTTTTTGGTAACAATCATGGACAGGGAGAATGATACCTTTTTGATCTAAACATTACCCCTTAATTTAATTAGCAGTCAGTGAATGTGTAACCTTATGTGTGTTCTGTTAGGCAATGCATAATAAAGCCTGGATGCGTAACTGTCTTTCCCTACTGGACATACTATATAAGTTCATCCAAGTAGTTCACTTTCTAAATACTAGGACCAATACTCAGGGAATAACTAGTATTATCTACACTGACCAGCTCTTATTTGAGTTATTTCCCTCACTGAGGGGTTATCCCATTGTACAGCACTACCGATTTTGCTGGAGCTATATAAATAATAAAATAATAATAATAATAATTTTCTTATCTAAGTAAACACAGAAATATGCATCCTAATAAAAGCAAACTGTTTATTTAGCCCAGTTATCAGCTTTACATTCTTTATTGGACTCCAACTTTTACACAGTTACAAGTAGATTAAAAAAAAAAAAGCCACCCGTGTGTTTTGTATTAACAAAATTTGTTATCAAGACTTGGCATATTCACTGTGTTCCCTAAAATTGTAACCACACTTCTGTTACTTTTCTCTTGTATACAGTGTTTCTATTACCTTGCACTTCCCTCCTTGCCTTTGCATTTATCATATCCTTAATAGTTCAGGGTCTTCTCTGTGGATTTTGAAATTACATTCATTCTAAACTGTGCGGTGTGCCTATTTCCAAACACATTCCTTTTTATTTTATCATACAGAGCAGAATTCACTGTCTGAAGTCATTTAAGATTATATCCTCACAATTTTAGGTACTCCTTAATTTCCCACAACCAAAACAGTTTTTGCATGTGAAACACGAAACGCGTTAGCATTCTCAACTTGCTCTCCCCTGTCTGCACATTGTCAAAAAAATTCCTATGGAAATAAATATTTCATTTTTATTTTATTCTAAATTTATTCTGGGAGCATTGACAAACATTTGCAAGATTTAAAGAAAATAAATATTATTTATTAATGAAATGTTAACTATTCCCATATTACTTACCATATATTTTTATTGTTGTCCTGCTCCTTGAAACAGAAATAAAAAGCTGTAAACAGCAACATTTAATAATTATTTTCTTTTAATCTCAAATCAGTTAATTCTGTTAATTTAAGTTGCCCTGAATGTTAGAAAGGCTTACATTTTTTTTCCAAATACCTTTTATTTTAATAGCTATAGAAATTTTTAGTGTTTTGAACTTTAGTAGCGCAAGTCTCTGTTCCCTTGATTTGCCAACATCATCTATTATCTAAATGAAAGATAATTGAACAAATCTGTGTAATGATCCACGCAGTATTTCTGACACCTCAATTTCTCATTAGGCTGTAGATGTCAATGCTTAATATTACACAAATGCATAATGTCTTCAACAATTAATGAATGTTAATGTTCTTGTTTTACTACTGATCTCATAAAATCCTCCATGGATACAATGGGCAATTTTAATTAAGTAACTATTTTTCCGAGCTGGAAGCCACCTTTATAGGGACTAGGATTCTCTTAGTACGCTCATCATCTACACATTTTACAGTACTTACCAGCTTTCCCCAATTTTAGTGATTTGTAGAGCTGAAATTGGAGTCTTGAGTGCGATACTGAGTATTATCTGTAGTTCAACAGAAGAACTCTAGGTGGCATGAAAGCTTATTAAGTTCCAAATCTGAATGTGAATATGGCTTGTCAAGTTGACGAGTATGACAAACTTAAAAAGAAAAGGGAGATTATCATGAAAAGATATATGTTTCTTGACAAGCGAAGAGACAGCTCCTAATGACGTTCCCATGGTACAGAAAACTATGACTGTGAAAGCTATTAAAAATACATGGCTGAGCACAAGGGGATAAATTAATTCATGCTTTTAAAAGCAACAACGTGAGTGGAGCACACTGGCACAGATCACAAAAAAATGCAAATAATGTACATGTACACATAAAATCTGTGCTTTTAAAAAAAATTGTTATGTTGCTTCTAGTCCAGTGTGTGATGTGACAGAGTGAATAAAGGTGCATTTCATCTGCAGAGTTTGCAGGTTTTGAAAATCTATTTCCGTTAGGTTAGTTTTCAATTCAGTGGGTCTAATTTATAAGTATGCTGTGAAATTAGTCCACAAAGGGATTTGTTCATAATCGTGAGGCTGTAGAAATTTGGAGACATGGTAATCTTTTAAAAACAGAAAGTGGGTCTAACAAGCTCAGCCACTGTAGAATCATCAAATTATTCACCAATCTAAAAATATGTGCCTCTCTTAATCCTCATTCAAACCATTCATCTAATAACTGCTGCTCAGTTTGTACTGTTTAATTGTGCGACTATTTGTGCATTGTTGCACTTGCATCAAAACAGTAGTAGTCTTTTGATAAATATTCTCCTAGAATGAGTAAAAATGGTAATGATTTTCTTTAACAGTGAAAAATAATCTATTTTACACAAACAGGATGAAAATATATATATTTTTAAATTTTTAATGCTCAGGAGTAAATAGAAGATAGCATCTACATCGAATTACAGGAGGTTGTTGCATTCTAACACAGTTGGCCTTGTAAGCAAAAATTATAATTACAAAATCAATGGTTTCCCCATGTAACAACACACATCAATGATGTGGTCATCCTGATCTCCGAGATTATGGAAATTATTTTCAGGAAGTATAATGTACCTATTTATTGTTAAATGTTTTGTATGTTCTCGTGTCCTGGTGATTCTCTCAACAATCTAGGTGGATTTGGCTGTGGAGCCTTTACAGCGCCATCTATTGGCTGTCAGGATCTTGAAACAGCTATATGCACTAGCTGAACAGCAAGACTTGTTAATTTGCATATTCAGGTAGATTTGCATAATATGAAAACAGCTATATAAAGAAAACAGGGAAGGTACACATGGCTTTTCAGTAGTAGATTAGTAGATTACAGAAGGCATGGTATAAACTGATTGTATAAAAAATATATAACTAAGAAGATCACTGTATAACATGTTATAGAGATAGGTAACAAGCTAAAAATGACCACTGGGACTGGTTACTATATCAATAAAGCACTCCAAGCAATGTACCGGAAATTAGGAAGTATCTGAGATACACAGTAGGGTGACAGAGGGCAGCCGCAGAATGGGATCAAGGTAGGGCACATCTCCCGCCCCTTGATGCATAGGTCGACATCACAAGGCCATGGACTCGGGGACTCCCCTGTACAGGGAAGAGCAGGAGAATTCTATGGCCTGTTGCTGCTTTTGGCAGATGGTCCTCGGCCAGTGTGGACGATGGTTCGGAGTCAAAATCCTAGTGACCTTTAGCCCTGGTGGGAAAAAAGTAGCAATGACAGGCACTTGCATGAGTGCTATACCTAGAGTCTTGGATAGTGCATGGACCGTACATGACTGGCACTGCTTTCGCAAGATGGCGGCTGCCCTTCTGCTTGCAGCTCAGGGCCTAAGCCCAATCCATGAGCAACTCCACGACCACACAGCATCAATCCTGGCACGACTCAATAATATTTTCTGTAACTTCTGGGAGAAGCTGCGAGTCTTGGCCCTCCCAACTGACCTGATCAGTGGAAATATGCTGCCGACTCTCACACAGGCTTGGGGCTTGCGGAGAATCCTGCTCTGAAATCACCCCAGATCTGCCCGCCTGGACTTAAACAAAGGCACATCAACTCTGCCGCTCATGGGGATCAGCTGATCTGGGCTACTGGGCCTGCTACCTGAGTTCTAACTAGATAAAGGCTACACATATTTTGCAAAGAGATTTATCTGAATACTTTACCTTTAAAAAAAAAAAAAATTTATTAGTATTTCTAGTACAGTGAGCTAGAGCATTCATAAATCCAGTGGTTCATCCTCCTACTAGTAATACCAGTCAGCCTGTAACATTCCTGTTTATATGAAACCTAGTAGGTAGTACTTAACATGTTTAAGGCCTAGCCTGTTAATCTACGTCCAGTCCAGTCTGGATTAGCTTGTCCTCCTACTGTATACTTGAATAGCCCAGCATATTTATCTCAAACTGAGGGTATGCCCCTTCTCCAGACACTCTCACCTATGTCGATTACTAGCTAGTTAGGCCTGACATAATCTATGTTGTTGTTTATTACTTTATAAAATTGTGCCAGAATATTGATTGTCACAACCTGTACATTCGTGTATGTCTATATACATTGATATTGCTGTTGTGGCATTACAGGCAGCATGTTATTTTGTGCACAACTAAAATAAAGAATAAAAAAAACCAATCATTACACAATGATTCCCCAGTTCAGTGTCCTCAACCTCTTAGAAACATGGTGGTACAGTTGACTAAGATTTGTCCTACTGTATAAACACAAGGGGATAACATTGCAGCTTGAGTCAGACATATCTTTACCAATAGAAAGGATTTTTTGGTAATAAAAAAAACAAAAAAATGACATGCAATTTAGTTTGCTAGCAAGCACATTTTCTGTTTACAGAAAGCGGTTTTCACTTGTATGCAGTTATTATGTCATGTATGGAAAATGTCACTGTTCCCTCGTCTATTCAAACAGATCAGGGTCATTGTCATTATTGATTTGAGTTCCAGTGAAGCACATTTTGATCTGTTAAAGTAATGAAATATAGATGTATTATTCACGTAGCTCTTGTGAAATCCTCTTGCAACATTATTGATCATTCTTAATGATGGAATGTTTTTCTTTTGGATTTCTCTTTGAAGAACATATGTAAGCAATTTTAAAAAGAACATTTGTTACATACCTTCCATATGATTTAATAATCTCGTACACATTTTATTTTCAATGTCACCCAGCAAACTGTTTAAAGCGGCACTGTCATGCCAAATGTATCTTTCTTTAATCGATTCCTCTTCTCTCCCTCTCTCAGGAACTGTTCTTCATTTCTTCCTGTCTGCTCTAGTTTTCTTTAGAGCATAAGACAAAGTAGGGATTACTTGTTTTACTGAGGTTTCCTACGCCTGACCATCTCTGACCAGTGTAGGAGCAAAGTGTGCTTTATTTCTGGTGGTCAGAGAAATTTTCCCACAATTCTTAGCTTTCCTCCCTGTTCCCGCAATGCATCCTGTCAGTATTGCTGAACGTCCTGTCATTTAGACAGAACGCTGGCAAAACTGCCGAATTGCATCCTGACAGAATGAGAACAGTTTCTCCATTCGTGTTAGGACGCAATTCGGGACTTTGTTCGGATCGGAATTTCATTCGAATTAATGAAACTCCGATCTGATTCCTGCCACGGCTGCATCTTGCAGTCGCTTAGTAGATAACTCCCTAATTCCCACAGTATGAGGGAGCTATCTACCAAAAGCATTAGATGTGCTGGCTGAGGCCAGGGGAGGGGGAGAGGGTTCCCTGGGTAGTGGGCCTGGGTTGCAGAGTCAGGAGATGCTGAGTTTCCTTAAGGCAGTGCCAGATAGGCTTCCTGGGGTTTGACCTCTCTTCTTCTGCTCCTTCCCCTCTTCCTGCCCAGTCCCTGAGCCAGAGTAGGCGTATGGAGGGTGTGCTCCCAGGGGGAGTATGTCCATGCCTTGACCCTATTAGGGTTGCATGTGTCGCTGGACATCAGGGACAAAATCATTAACGGTGAGTATGTGGATTTGCTGTCCCTGGTACCCCCGGATAGGGAATCAGTGGATAGGTCGCGGCGTGTAGACATGTCGGATGGGGAAAAAGGTAAGCAGCTGCGGTGTAACTTTGGCAACTGGCTACAGGAGTACTTTGAGTACTTAGGCCTGATTTGGGGGGGCGTATAAGATATATGGGGGTCAATGCTGGTTTAAGTATGACCAGCAATTTCACCAAAAACTGGTAGTGAGTGTCACCCATCCCCATTTCCAGGAGCAGCCGGCGCACAGTCCAGTGCACCAGCTGGGCAGCGCAATCGAGTTTGTTGGCTCTTTAATGAGAGCCACTGCAGGTGGAATGGATCCTGCAGATTTAAACACGAATGCTCACATTGTGGAGGACCCCCCTTTCGTTGCGGTGCTTTAAAAAAGGCAAGCAAGGAAGTAGGTTTCCCAGGGAGGACGTACCTACAGCAAAGGATGAGCGTGGTAAGGATGCGCCCATGGCTCAATGAGTACCCCAAGCATAGGGAGGAGCAGATTTTGCTAGATGGGTTTTCAGAGGGGTTTTGGATACCATTTGTTCATTTGGGTTCCCCGTCGTTTGCGGGAAATTTGCGTTTGCTGGTTGGGAAAAAAGCGATTTTGGAGGGTAAGCTTAGGAAGGAAGTTCTGTTAGGAAGCATGGCTGGGCCATTCGACTCGTTGCCCTTTCCCAATTTACAGGTCTCTCCCCTAGGATTGGTGCCCAAGAAAGATCTGGGGGCTTTTCGTCTCATTCATCTCCTGTCCTTCCCATCAGGCAGGTCGGTGAATGATGCTATCGATAAGCAGGTGTTTCGGGTTCGATATGCCTCCTTTGATCAGGCGCTCAAGTTGGTGCGGGAGGCTGGGATGGGTGCTCAGCTGGCCAAGTCAGACATTGAGTCAGCTTTTCATTTGCTCCCAATCCACCTTTACTGCTTCCACTTGCTGGGATGCCACTTTCAGGGGTTGTTCTTTTTTGATATGTGTTTGCCAATGGGTTGCGCTATTTCGTGTTCGAACTTTGAAATGTTTGCATTGTTTCTCGAATGGGTGTTTTTTTCAGTGTCGGGCCTGTCGTTGCTGATTCACTATCTGGACGATTTTTTGTTTGTGTGTCCGCGGGAGACAGAGGATTGCGAGGTGCTCTTGGAGTCTTTTCGGCAGGTCGCGTTGGATTTTGGAGTCCTGGTGGCAGAAGACAGTGGAGCCAGTTAGGGTTCTGTCGTATCTGGGGATAGAAGTCAATTCTCAGGTCATGGTTTTTCGCCTGCCGTAGGATAAATTGGTTCACTTGTTTCGTATGGTGGACTCGGTGAAAGGAGCCAAGAAAGTGCAATTTCGTCAGTTGTAGTTCTTGTTAAGGCATTGGAATTTTGCATGTCGGGTTTTACCCATGGGCAAAGCGTTTTGTCGGCGGCTGTACTTGTCGACGGTCGGGGTCAAGCAGCCTTTTCATTTTATCCGCATCACTCAACGAGATCGGGAAGATCTACAGGTATGGAGTTCCTTTTTGGGTACGTATAATGGGCAATCGTGCTGGCTACGGCCAGCTGTGTTCAGTAGGGACTTGGCCTTATATACCAATGCGTCAGGTTCTGTGGGCTTCGGTGCCCACTTTCAGGGGAGGTGGTGCGTGGAGGTTTGGCCACATCGGTGGCAGGATAGTGACTTGTTGGGCGATTTAACATTCTTAGAACTTTTCTCCTTAGTTGTGGCAGTGGAGCTTTGGGTTAAGGAGTTTGCCAATTGTAAGGTGGTTGTTCATGTGGTCAACCGCTCCACTTCTGCGTCTTCTCCAGTGTTGGCACTTCTTAGGCACTTGTTATTGCTTAGTTTGTCATGAAATGTGTGGATGGTTGCGTGTCATGTCCCTGGGGTCTTGAATGTTATAGCTGACTCTCTTTCTCGGTTTCAGTGGAACCGGTTTTGAGAGGCGGCTCCAGGGGCAGCGCAGACAGGAACCACTTGCCCGTCAGGCTTATGGGACCTGGTTTCCGACATTTGAGGTGTTTGGTGATGGGGTCATTATCAGAATCTTCGTGGAAGTCCTATGCAGCAGTGTGGCGCAGGTGGTGGGTGATCAAGGCTTACAGGGATACTTCCTTGGAGGCAGGTAGGTTGAAGGCAACGCTGGCCTTATTGGAATCGCTTTGTGCTTCAGGTAAGTCCTCCTCCATGGCCGAACTGTATTTGTCAGCACTGTCTTTCTTATTTCAGTGGTTCAGGTGCCAGGACTTGGGTTTTGAAGCGTTGGAAGAAAGGGCCACCGGCCCGACTCTTGTCGAACCATTTCCTACGGTTTGTTGTGTCGACTCTTGGAGTTCTTGCCCCATGGCTTTCGTGTTGTGCTTTTTTGGGGCCCTGCGAATAGGGGAGCTGGTGGCTCCCAGTACTCGCGTTCAGTGTCCTCTGCTGCTGGCAGATGTGTCAGTCACTGAGAGTGGCCTGGTAATGGTAATTTATCGCTCTAAGACAGATCATGAGGGAGTGGGTGTACGAGTACAGGTTGGGCCCACAGGCGTGCCCATTTTGTCCGGTTCGGTTGCTACGAGAGTTCTTGGTGGTACGTGGGGTGGGAGTCGGTTCCCTTCTCCGACATCTGGATGGGACATCGCCAAGCTGATTTCAATTTTCCAGAAGTCTGCAGTCCTGCGTGGTAGGTATGGGTTTGGCTCCGGGTAGTTACACAACTCACTCCTTTCGGATAGGGGCTGCTACGCAGGCTAGCTTGATGGGACTCTCCTCGGAAGCGCTTAAGCTTTTGGGGCACTAGCAATCAGGGTGGTTCCAACTATATGTGCGTCCATACTTACTGTAGGGGATTCCGCTCCACTCATGTTGTTGTTTGCTCTGTTATTATTGTAGGTGTGGTTCCACGCTTCGTATGGATTGTGGGACACTCATTCATTTATTGGGCAGCTAGGCGGGCGTAGGTTAGGCC